TGTTAGAAAAGGCACTTGTTTGCATGGAAGGAGAAAGGTTGTCCTTGTAAATAAAGCGAAGTGTTTTCATCCATCACTACAATACAGATCCCTACAGAAAGGTCTCGAGTTCCTTGTGTGAGCACAAACAGATATTCCATTGGAGCACAGTTCAGGGGAGTGAATATTTGTGATGACATCTTTCTGTGTGATGCAGTTGCCTTAAAGTAGTGTCTACATATATATGTGTGTACAAACATATATAATATATATATAAAATGATGGAATCAATAGCTTGAAAAATTCTGTACACAAGAATTGATTGTGTCACTTTTTGAACTTTAAAGTAGTTTGATATGTACATGGATAGAAAAGGGTGTGCACTTTGCCAACATAGACACTGAGGTGCAGAAATTATGATTTCAAGAGGTGAGTGGTTGACGTATCTGTGAATGGGTACTTTGGAAATAGTTCTTTTTGCAGAAAATTGTCCCAGCCTTTTTTTCTGGGTTCTCATTTTCATCATGAATATATGCATGTTTCATTTTAATAACATCTCCATGACTACTTGGGAAAAAAATTTTTTAGTACAATTCATGAGTATTCCAGTCCTGCATTGAAAAAGTAACAGGCAGAGAAAGAATTTACTCTGCAACAATTTACATTTAAATTCATTTACAACAAATGCCCTTTGTGTGTGCAAGAGGTTTCTGTAACTGATGACATTCTATTGTACAAAACCACAGAGCAAGTAGCTGCCTCATGATATCCAAACTGAATCATAGCTGAATGGTTACGAATATTCATTAATCCCTCTGTCAATTTGAAATACCATTTTACAGGGTACCAAGTAGCTGCAGTATCTACCTGAGTCCCAGAAAGTTCGTAAGAGCAAGTACTATGTTGAAATGGGAAACATGATATCAATACTAAGAGAAGGGCAATATATGGCACAATATTATATCCCTTTAATTTCACAGCTGAGGAAAAAGGACTTTCACTAAAACCAATAAGTGTTTTGGATACTGAGAACACTCAACAACCCTCAGATATTTCAGATTGTCTTGTCCTTTGTCTCACTGGTAGCACAGGGTGGGGACACGCATTGATTACTTTCACTATTATTTTTTCAATGTTTTTTAAAGTATGTTAATCAGAATGTTCTTTTACAACAAATATTTTAGCCAACATGAGCACTTCCCCCTCATAGCTTTCATAGCATTCATAGTTTTCCTATGGCTTCTGTTATGACCAAATGCGTGCGTGTGTGCGCTTGTCCATTTTTCTTCCTGTATAACAGTACACTGTTTTTAATCACAGAACCCAGAGAGGAAGGGGAGGCAGTGGAATTGATTTTGTTGGAGGAAGAAGGGAACCTGAAAGAACAACCAAGAAACAAATGAAAATGGAACGAAATTGTTTAGGGGGCTGGGGGACACAAAAGTGTAGATTGATTATGTATAATGGACTGTGGACAGTTCTGAGGAAAGTTAGAGTATGAAAGAATGCCAGATTAAAGTCAGAAAGGAAGTATGAAATGGGTAAGGACAGAAAAATGAAAGAAAATAAGAAAAAGAGCTGGGAGAAAGCCAATATAAACTTGAAGAATGGGAGAAATCTCATAGCATGTTTTTGGGTATGTTTTTTTAGCATGTTTTTTGCTCAGAGCAGCTGAGGTCAAATATTAATTGGGAAGCAAGAGCTATGTGAAAAAATTAGCCAGCTAAAAAACAAACAACTTTCACAAAAATTTAAAACAAGAAAATATATAGTATTTTTTACTTTGCTCATCTGGCAGTCATTTAACTTTTTGAGAATTAACTAATTAGAGCAAATCTCTGTTAATACAGAGAGATATCAATCCATATGTTTGGGGGTTTTTCTTGGAGAAGGCAAATTCACCATGTTTCAAACTGGTTTTTTTGACATTTTGAAGACATAGAGTTACTGTATGAGCAGTAATAGGTTTACAGCAGGAGATTCATCATGGCACTGAAAGATCCTCATACAGTCTCTTAGAGGGCACTCTGTAGCAGCTTTAGGCCTAACCTTATTTTCCATGAAGGCAACAAATTTGGAAGCAGAATCTCAGGGATAGAAGCAGAATATTTTCCACAGACAGTACTCTCCAGCTACACCTGATCTTTATGCTATTAAGACAAGTGGGCAGATCTCCCCAGGTCTAGGCAGGTTCAGAAGAGCTTTCTCATATTGGTTTCCTCTCCTTGAGGTCACTCAGGGTAAAATCAAGACAGTCTGACCACATTAGGTCCCTTGTTTCCTGAACAGCCACTCATCAGGACTTGAAACCCAGGTTAAAGACATGCTTTTAGCTCATGAGATTCCATGTGATTTTCTGAGCAAATGAATAGCTTTTGTAGTGGAGAGATTCCCAGCTGCCAGGAAGGTGGTTCAGGCATGTGTCATGCAATATAGTCTGGCTAAGTTAGCCATTACAGTGTAACCCACGGACACGTTTTTTTGAGAGCTGATTGATTTTTTTTTACATGTATCAAGTTATTGTTCCCTCAAAAGCCCACACCCCTGAGATGATAAGGGACTGCCTAGTGTAAAGCAGCACCTGTGAAAATAACCTTTAAATGTACATAAAATTGTACATATACTTGGCTCTCAAATGCTATCTAAGGAGGACTTGGCACTCAACTAAGACAAAATACAATTATTTACCTGTAAGTCAGCTATTGATGGCATATACTAGGATCACAATATTCACTTTCCATTCATACTTGCCATTCATTCTTGCCATTTGTACCTTTCTTTTTTCTCCCTAAGTCACAGTCATAATTCTTTTTATTATAGATTCTGTGTAGTTCATCAGATTCTGTTTCCATTCCCTCCAGTCCTTCCCTCCCTCTCTCCCTCCCCTCTTACTATGAGGAGGTTCGGCAGAAGTTAGAATGCCTTGTTGTTCAAGGATTGATTACAAATGATAATGTTAATTATCATGTTGAAGTGTAGATTATGAACTGACTGCTACAGGTCATTCCAGAATTAATATCCTAATATTCCCCTTTTCTTTCAAATTAACAGTCTTCTCAGTTCTCCTCTAAACTTCTTTTCCTTTTGGATTTGAAAGTTATGGGATAAATGAGTAACTCGGTGTAATGGTTTTGGCTGGGATTGAGTTAATTTTCTTCACAGTAGTTAGCAGTGGGATGTGTTTTGGGTTTGTGCTGAAAAGAGTGTTGATAACACAGGTATGTTTCTGCTCTTTCTGGGCAGTGATTTGAGTCAAGTTCATTTCTGTTTCTTATCCCACACTACCAGTAAGGAGGCTAGTGGTGCACAAGAAGTTGGGAACGGACACAGTTGAGACAGAACATTCCATACCACATAGCATTAGGCTCAGGATGTAAAGCTGGGGAAGCAAGGAAGGGGAGAGGTTTGGAATGATACCATTTGTCTTCCCAAGTAGCTGTTAAGCTCAATGGAGCCCTGCTTTCCTGAGGATGATTGAACACCTACCTACCAATGGGAAGTGGTGAATTAATTTCTTGTTTTATTTTGCTCATTTATGTGGCTTTTGCTTTACCCATTAAACTGTCTTTATCTCAACCCATGAGTATTGTCACTATTACTCTTCCAATTCTCTCCATATCCTACCCAGGGGGTTGAGTGAGCCACTGTGTGGGACTTTTTTGTCAGCTGGGGTTAAAACACAACACTTGGACATAGACAGAAATAAAATTGTTGAGTATTGGACCTACATAATTTTTACTAGTATTGCAGCATTATTGGAGGTTACACTTTTATTAAGAAAGGAAACAGGTTACGCACATTTTTATAACTTAGATACTGCTTACACTTTAGCCTCTCCTTCTTCTAAGCAACATGGCCCTGTCCAAACTGCTGGTTAAAAGTGGTCATTAATATATGAACATGCTAACACAACCTAAATGACTATGGTACTAGTTATTGCTGTTCTAGACATTGGTAGACAGTACCATTCAGGGGCCCAACTGGACCAGGCTCTTGCCACATATGGAAAAACACTGAGCAAACATAAGCTCAAACCTTGAAAAATTCACAGTTGTCACTACATGAAAATGTACATAACACTGTGTCATTACATGAGGAATATGTAGGACAGTTTAAAATCTGATCTATTGCATGTCAAGTGTTCTTTAGGAAACTGAACAAAGTTGTATGAGAAGATTTACTCTTGCAAATGCTGAAAATGTTATAGTCCACAGTCTAGTTATCGCACCTTAACCTGTGTTGTCATAAGACAGGAAATTAACATTTAGACAAAAGAGATAGGATCCATAGATGTAAATAGAAATTATACAGTTCTGGTCACCATAGTAAGCTATGGTCTCAGTTGATGCACCTGACCACTGCATTTTTTAGAGAAAGTGTAGTGGGTTGGCTTTTGGACTTTTTAGGCCTTCCTTAGCAACGGGGGTCAGAAATCTAATGAAGTATTCCATATCATCCTTTAGCATAACACAACATATAAATAAGGCAGAGATAAGAGAGCTCGCTCTCTTCTCTCTTCTGGTGCCTGAAGTCAACAGGACGACAGGTCTCTCCACAGACAGTCTTTGCTTGTATGGGCCAAGGCCTGTCTGTTTAGACCTGCCATTATCTCCAGTCCCTCCAGGAGGTGTAGGGAGTTGGTTGGTGCTTTGCACAGTTCTGCTGTCTCGTTCAGGGAAGTATTTAATTCGTTTTTTTTATTTATTCACTAGCTCTCAATGGTGTATATCTGGAGGATATTTGTTTTAGGGTTTTTTATCCCTGTTTTCCCCCTCCCTTTTCCCTTTTTTCCCCTTGTGAGCTCTCTATTGTGTGTACAATATATTCAAATTGTATATATAATTGTAAATATATATTTTTATATAATCCCATTTCATTCAGGCTTTTTTTGATTTTTCTGTGGTTCGTTTTTTTTCCTCGCTTGAAAGAGTGGGGGGGGGAGGGGACAGCTTGGATTTGGCAAGAAAGCCAGGCCAAACTGATACAAAAAGAAAATCAGGAAAAAAAGGGAGAATAATGGGGAAGTTTCTATTTATACAAGGAAAGAATCTTCAAAGTCTGAGAGAAGGGAGTATTTGATACTACACTAAGATGTTTACCTGAAAACAGGAAGGAAAAAGGTATCAATGCATTGAACAATCAAAGAGAGAAATGTCATAACAATTTTGAAATTGATAAGTAAGCTAAAATTAAATAATCGTAAATGAGAGAATATTTAAATGATGTGTTAAGTAGTTCACAAAGGGCATGAATGTGACAAAAGTAGACCAGTTTGGGGATATAGAGAATTACAGAAAGATTAGATATAGGATACAATTCACATAAAATTACCAGGAATAGATACAATTAAATTCACGGTAGAATAATGTCAGCACATTTTTGTTTGCATTTTGATACTTTTTACATATTTACACAGATTGAATACAAATATATACGCCTGTATATATAAATATATGCATACATATAAAATATAATATGCACTGTCATATGCACATAGAGACATGGAATTTTTATAAATGAATGTCAGTCATGTACTTGGTAATGTATAAACAGTTCTCCTAGCTTTTGGCAAAAGCCATGAATCTGAGGATAGAACTCATCTACAATTTCCATAGCAAGCCCATATTTTCTAGTAATAGAATTCTTCTAAATATCATCATATTTTCTAAAAATACTTTCTCCTTCCCCTGCACATAAAATTCTTCAAAAGGTAGTACTTAAAATGTTTACATTTATTTGAGAATATTTTTAATACTCTACACTGGTACGGCCTCAACTTGAATATTGTGTGCAGTTTTGGTAACCACAGTATGGGAAAAACATTAAGTTCTTAGAAGATGGTGAAGGGCCTCGAGGGGAAGCTGTATAAGGAGTGTCTGAAGTCACTTGATCTGTTCAGCCTGGAGAAGAGGAGACTGAGAGGAGACATCATCGCAGTCTGCAACTTCTTCATGAGGGGAAGAGGGGAAGAGAGAGCGCAGACATTGATATCTTCTCTCTGTGGATGTGAGGGAATGGCATAAAGCTCTGTTGGGAGAGGTTTAGGTTGAATATTAGAAAAAGGTTCTTCACCCAGAGGGTGGTTAGGTACTGGAACAGACTCCCCAGCACCAAGTCTGACAGAGTGCAAGAAATGCTTGGACAATTCTCTCAGGGACATGGTGTGACTCCTGGGGCTAGTCCTGTGTAGGGCTTGACGATCCATGTGGGTCCCTTCCAACAACACATTCTGTGATTCTGTGATTGTGTGAATTGTCACAAGGTCCCTATTATATATTCTCACTGCATTTCTACACTATTGTATAAGTATAGCAAAAATACTTTTCTAAGACCATATACCTATCGTTTCTACTAGATCACTTTTTTTTCAATTATTCACTCTGTATTAAACAACATTAGCTTAAAAGTGTTTTGGTGATGTACCCCAAGGAATAAACATCTCCAAAGTGAGTATTAAAATATACAGTATACGTATGAAACTGTAGCAAGGAATTTTTGTCCTATTTTTACATGACAGCAAGCTACAGATTTTAACGTGAAAATCCGAAGCGAAGCAGGATTGCATGTAGGCATTGGGCCAAAACTGAACTGTGAAAATTTAAACTCTTGTGTAGGCTGCAAGATTACTTTCTTTTCTTGATGGTGTGATTTTCAGACTTGATCTTTCTCCTCACTGTTTACACAATCTTTATTTCAAGGTACAATAAATTTATTAAGACAGTATTTGCTCTAAAATTCTTATAATTGTAAAGGATTTCTTGTGTTAATAAAATACCACGTAGTGATATTGATTTGCTGAAAGTTCAGATTTACCTTTGCCTTTTTACAATTTTGTCATGTTTTGTTTTAACATTCTCTTCCCCTCAATTCTGGGAGATACTTTTTCAGATCAACTGTCAGTCACATGCAGGTCATCACCAGAAAACATAAATAAAACTGCAAACACAGTGTTTTTGCTAGAAACCTGAAAATCTAGAAAATTTTCACAATATTAATAGGAAGTAATTACATTTTGTATTGTGAGATCTTTTTATAAAAATTGGTGTTCTGGTGACTATTTATGTATTGAACATCTAGAATGTCACTGAAGCTAATTATTAAGAAAGAGTAGTGATTAAGGGATGTGAGTATAAACATAGGCTTGCATTCCTTATTTTTCCTTTCTATTATAATGCATATAATAGACTCTGCATTTGTTAGTCCTAAGTATAGTCTTTCTCATTTAACTGCATATGTAGATGTATGTAGGTCAAAAGCTGTGCAATCAACCCAAAAGTTAACATCTTTTTTGAACATACTGCTTAAACAAACAAAATTAGCACAAAATAATTATTTATTGTAGCATATATTTAAAACAAACTCAGTAATTGCTAAAACAGTTAATTAGAAAAAAAATCAATTGCATTCACTAGGATATTCTATAAACCAGTTGCATCATTTAGTGTGTGTGAAATAGTAACGGTTAGCAGAAATTCTTACTAATAAAGATATCACATGCAGAATTCATTTCAGCCTCACATGGATTTCCAGCAGGTAATATCTATGGTCATGTAGATTTATTTTTTCTCTGACAGCAAGAGTATATAATTTGGATTTGAGATGATCTTTTATCTGTCTCGTAGGTCTTCAGATCTGAAGCTTGACCTGCTCTCCACCCACCATCATCACCTTTTATGTCAGTCAGAATCCTGGTTTTTGGAAAAACTGTTTTAAAAAAAAAAAAAAAGGGAGTGGGGAGACTGGCTTTTGGTTTGGTTACTTTTTGGGCTTTTGGTTTTGGGGTGTTTTTTTAAGCAAGAAGTACTAGTTGTCTTTGAAGATTTTTTTAAGCAACTTATTTGTTTAGGTTCTTGGACATGACCTCATTAGGCATCAAACTGTTTCTTTATTTTATTGCTAATAAGCTTAACTGAAGCACAGTGGGGCAGTACTGTGTGCAAAGTAAAGACAACATTATTTCTGCATCTTAATGGCAAGTACAAAGACTTTCAAGGCAAGTAGGAGAAACCTGTATTCATTCTTGAACAACAGAAGGTGAGTATTCATGGCAGGTGCAGCCATTTTTCAATATATTATTGAAGAGAAACCCCACAGGCAAAGAATATATTCCTAGCTAGCTGAATACAGAGATCTTAGAGTGATAGGTGCTACAGAAGGTGTTACGATTGATAAACTGAACAAGCCAGGACTCTTATAGAGAAAATAATTACCAAATGTTCATGAATAGTTATTTCCTATTACAGTGCCCAGTTGCAGTGTAGGCACTTAAGGCTATTCGTTGTTTATTGAACATCGTCAGAACAAAGGAACCTCCACTGAATTGCAGGCTTTTTTTGATTGCCTAGGAGGGTTTACTCTTTTCATTCGTGCAATCCATCTCCTTAGTAGTTTTTTCAGAAACAAAAGGCTTAGTTGGAATTGGAGCCACTCCCTACAGTGTTAGAAATTATAAGTGCAGACTTAAGCCCATGTGCATAATGCTTTTAATTTATTTTCATAGTTCACATACCCCTCTGTCATATACTGATTACCCATTTCAAAAGATGACCAATCATGGTCACATTCGCAAAGAGATTGAGGCACCAAAGATAGTAACTTGTCATGATTTTCATTAAAATTTGCAACTGGGAGTCCTCAAGAACAGAAAATTAATGACTGCTGTATTTGTTGACAGTATGATTTCCAAATTGCAATACAAATGTAATGACCATCGATGCTGCTTGAGTGGCCTGCCAGATAATCTGCTGTATATTGCCATAGCGCATGTTGCCACTTGCTCGGAGGGCAGTGAGAGGGCACAAGAAGGAACTGAGATCTTTGCAAGAAGATGGTGAATCAAAGAATATGCTCATTGGAAGGAATCTCAGGGAAAGGGAGAGTTATAAAGAGTAAGGTAAAAGTCTGGACCTACCATGATAAGGATACCCAAGGTACCTCAGAAGACAGTTCTGTACAACCCAGTCTTCTTGATTGAAGTTGATTGAAAAACATTTTTCAAAAATTCTGAAGAAAATTTTATTAATAAATTCCACAAGAAAGAAGAGAATTTTAAAAATTTAATCTCATTTTTCACTCTTAGGCACTGTGCAATGATATGCCCATGCTTTCAAAAGCATGTAAGTATTCAGAAACTACCAAGAAAAAACTATGGGACAGTTTTCAGCTTTCCATACAAATTTTGCTTTTTATTGGAGGTCTTGTGCTTTTTCCTTCTCCTTGAGATATTTGGATTGATAAATTGACTAACAAAGATATACAGGTCTAGCAGACCGATGCCTAAGTGATAATAGATTGGTTTATTAAGAAAAGGAGCACAACACAAGAAGAGATAGACAATATCTTGCAGTAAAGTCTTCAGCAAATAAAATAAACCAGCAAACCTGTTGCTGCAAGAGGAATCAGCTATATCAGAGTTACAACTGTTTCATGACACAGAGTAACCAGTGAAGTCACTGCCTGTGAAGTCACAAATGGAAGGCATCAGTCAACCAAAGAAAAATAAAATCAATGGAGTATGTTAAGATGATGAATATCACTAGGAAACTTTACTATTAAGTGAAATTCAACAAAAATGTTCTGCCAAGAAACTCTATTTTGAGAAGGTCTGTTGTGGTGTAAAATTGAAAAATGATTGAAAAAAAAATATCTTCAGACATTTTAAAACTTCCATTTTAAAACTTCCCATTTCTCATGGCTGAGGTTGTCAGTTTCCCCCACTTACAATACCCTATGTAAGTCAATTTAGCTTTCATTACACCGATGAAGTCAGCTGAAGAGACCCACTCCAGCACCCACTCTTGTATGCAAATATCCCACACCATCAGTGAAGGTATAAACAGGAGGGAAAAGAGTGACCTCTGCCTCCAGCTTAATTATCTATAGATGTGGCAGGAGGAGGAGAGAGCAGTGCACAAATGACTCATCTGGAATGTGACTGCTCTTCTGTTCCTGTGACATGGTCTACAGTTCTCTATGAGATGGATTTTTTTCAAGGATGGAATTTTTCAGTTGTGCCTGATCTGATGTGATTTATAAGTTACAGCATGGCTCCAGTCCTGCTAACCTTCTGTCAGGCTCCTCATGATGCAACTCAGGAGACTTCCCACTGCAATACTACAAAGTCACCAGCTGGTAGAGGTTGTTTTAGTTCAGACACAAAGGCATGGTGCTTCTTGGGAACAGAAGCAGTTTACATGAAGCAATAAATGAGTAAATGTTCTTCCTAGACCTGGGAGTGTGGGGGTGTCTATAAGCAAATTCAGGTCAACTCCAAAAGTAGTTTCACCTACTTTGTAAAGATTGTTATACTACCTAAGATATTAGCTCAGAGAAAAGAGACTTGACTCTAATAACTATTGTGCTAATAAAACAAAATTAGTTGTGTTGCTCTACAGATGTGTTTGAATGACATCCCTGACCCCACCAAGATAAGCTCTAGCACACCCACAAAACAATATTTGACTTGCCTACAAAAGGTAATTTCATTATACACCTAATCATCTCTATTATTTCATGCTGACAGTCTGGTATGATGCAGCTGGAAGTCTTACATATCAAAAATAAGGGAAAGAAATGAGGATATTCCAATATGAAACAAAACAAGATTATCAAGATTTTTTTTACCTATGATTACTTATACGCTGTAGTTTTCATACTGTCATCCATGATAGATACAGTTAATTTTTGCTGTTTTGTATTTATATTGCATGTTGTCATTTCTATCATTAATCATAAACATAATCGTCATAGAGACAGAAATGTCTTTTCCCAGACATTTAATTCTAAAATATAATTATCCAGACTTCCTGCTGTTAATGGCATAGAATTCTAATTACTTCAAAATGAAGCCATTATTCATAAACTTCAGGCTTGTAACACACGTTTACAGTAGATGGAAATTAGTATAGAATTCATCACTGTGGAGAAGCTCTTGTTTGCCACAGGCTTATTTAACTACTCTGTTTCTTAGTACTGTTTTTGTCATATACCATTAAGGAATTATAATGTACTCAACTTCCTGTTTACACAGAAAGATATGAACAGAAATCCTCCTTCACTGACAATGGGCACTCAAATTTTTCGCATGTAAATAAAGTACAGCTATATCTTTCTGTTGTAGGAAGGCCCTTGAAGTTGGTAATGGCAGTAATTTAATTAGCAGCCACTAGTTCTGAGTCAGATAATTCTCACAGTGGATAATGTACAATGAAAATGGAAAATATATGTGGCAATAAAAACTTAGATTAATAAGGTCAAAATAGAAAAATGTTGATTTGAGTAATTTTCCCAAATTTTCAAAGACAAATTGTAAAAGAATTGTGTTGCATACATGGTTTGTTTTCATAAAACAATGTTCAAATTTGGAAAGCAATTACAATGTGGAAATTATATTATATTGCTCTAGGCAACCTCTCTTTATCACATTCATAATTCTTGAAATCTTATTATTGTGTTCTAAGACTGTGTCCAAAAGAAGGTTACCTGTGACAGAACTCAGTTCAGAAAAAAAGAAATCAGCATTGGTTAAAGAAATGTAAAGCAAAAAGAATACAAAATATAAAGCAGTTCCAAGGAACATATATGAAAAGACAGTAAAACCGAGAAGCTTCTTTTTCGGTTTTGAAGACTGAGATTTTGTTCTAGTTCCTGGAAAATCCTACTGACATATCTTAGACTCACTTGTTTTCCTTGGTCTTAATATGCAGCAAAGATTTAAAATACAGATATTATTCCATTTGCATACATCATTTCTTTATTAAGCATTTGTTTATGGAAGAAAACACTTAGAGAGGAAAGCACCAAGAATAAGATATAAATGAATAGATTAAAAAAAAAAAAAGAAAACATGAGCTCTATTTGCAACACTTTCTGACATATTGCTGTAGCAGATTACACCTTCTAAGTTTTTCATTGTAAAATAGGAGACTTCTATAAACACAGCAACATTGAGAGAAATTGTATGTCACTGAGATGTTTGCTCTAAGTGGTTTTATATTAAAGGTTTGAGTAGCCAGCTATCTTTAAGAAGGCTTAGATAAATGGTACAGATAAAAAAAAATACAAAATGTAACAGAGAAGAAGTCAATTTAAAAGTTTATGTTTGGACTGGGCCTGTAGCTTGGTATACATCTTGGGTTATGTTTGAACATCAAATTAGTTTAACTTATTTGTGTATGTATTGGGTCAGGCTGGGACGGAGTTAACTTTCCCTATAACAACCCTCATAGTGCTGTGCCTTTTATTTGTGGTTGGAATAGTGTTGATAACACATTTAGCAGCCACCCAAGGTCAATCCACCACAATGTAAAAAGTTATTTGGAAAGGTACTTAACTTTTTATATCCTCATTTACATTTTTCAATAATTCTTTAGTTCACAGCTCGGATTTTAAAGCCAAGCACATGGGCATCTGTGGATTTTGGTTCAGTTTTGTTTTGTTTTTCTCTGAAGACTTGGATGTTCAGAGCTCAGAAATGTATCACAGCTTTCATTGAAAATATGACACAATCACAAGTTGATCATAAATGTAGTTGAGCTAACATTCTTACTTGAATATATAAATATGTTGGTAAGGAACACGGCTTCGAGATTTTTATTTCTTTCGCATAAATACTGCAAAATGTCACCTGAAGCCAGTCCATTCTGATTTCATGGCAGGGACAATAGAATTCTGTCTTTACATTCTTTTTTTTCAGACTGATTTATTTGAAAGCTATTTTTACCATAAAACAAGATGTTAAATATGAAAATCTCATTAAAATTGATTTAGGTTTCCCTAGGTTTTACTTAGACAAACCATGTCTGAGGACAAGGGTCCAGGTTATGCTGGGCTGCTCATCTTTCATCCTCCCAAGAGACTCCCTGCAGTGATATCTCTAGGGCTGGAAAAAAAAAGACTGACTACTGTAGAGGTTGGGACTTAGGCAGGTGGGCAATAACAGGCTTTTAGCCATTTTAACTAAACTCTTTTCACTCTCCAGCCACAGAAGACTTCTGCCCCTCACTACGAGACACTGAGGTGCAGGAGTGTGTCCAGAGAAGGGCAACAAAGTTGGTGAAGAATCTGGAGCACAAGTCTTACGAGGAGCCGCTGAGGGAGCTGTTTATCCTGGAGAAAAGGAAACTTGAGAGACTTTCTCACTTTCTACAACTCTCTGAAAGGAGGTTATAGCCAAGTGGAGGGTGGATCCCTTATCCTAAGAAACAAGTGACAAGATGAGAGAAAATGGCCTCAAGCTGTGCTAGGGAAGGTTTAGATTAAATATTCAGAAAAATTTCTTCATGGGAAGAGTTGCCAAGAATCAGAACAGACTGCACACAGAAGTGGTGGATTTACCGTCCCTGGAGGTATTTAAAAGATGTTTTGGTGTGATACGGTTTAGTTGTGGACTTGACAGTGCTAGATGTTTGGATTTAGTGATATTACAGATTTTTTCCAACCTAAATGATTTTATGATTCTTCTCCAGTGACCAGTTCAACAATCTTCACTTTTCCTTCAAAAGAAGTGTATGAAAAAGTACTGTGTTCCATACTCTCTTTGGAAGTACACAATCAAAGTAGGCTATTTTTATTGTTTACCTATGTGTTTAATAGGAAAATAGACTCAGTCATTCAGACCTACTACATAACAGCTAAATAAAATTTCATTCTTTGTGACTGATTTGTAGTTTCCATTTAAGTCTTTAAGATATATTCTTTGTTTCATGACAACATCCTGAACTTGGTTTGGCACTTGTCTCTCTACAAATTTTAGTAACTCCTGGTAGGATTCCTTCACTGTTTTGTCTCCGACAATATTTTTCTTTAATCCATTGTTACAGCACTACTCACCTCTAACATATAGTTCTTAGTGTAACAATCAAAGTTACATAAACTAAAAATCCCAAAGCAGTTTGCCTCAAATCAACATTCTGAATGACGCTTATTACTATTGTCACCAAAATAATAATCTGAAAATGTGATTGGTAAATTGCAATTTAA